TCCGGGTTCCACTCCCCGGGGAACCGGGTGGCGCTGGGCCCGCCGAGGTCGGGGCTTTCCCGTGGGAAGGAGGTGGCTGTGGCTGGATTTTTAGATGCGTCCTTCGCTGTATTTGTTCCCTTGGAAGGATTCCCCCAAATCTGGTCTCCTTCCTGCCTGCCAGCCTGCTTCCTCGCAGAGATGTCCCAGTAGCTCTCCCATGCTTCATCCCAGCTCTTGGGGTTCACCGTCTGAAGGCTTTCTCCTCGGGATCCCTCTCAGTCCGGCTGCTCGCTCCGATTTTGCAACCTCCCCCATTCCCCTTTCCCGCTCTTGACTTTGCTACTCACACGTACCTGCATACCATTTCCAAATAAAATAATACTCTTTCCAAGTGGCAAGAAGTGTTTGCTGACCCTGTTCTAACTGCTTGGAATTGAGCAGGAAACGAGCTGGGCAGATCCTGCCCTCATGGAACTTATGGCCTTACTGGCCAACTTTGGTCCTTCTCAAAGCATTGTCGCCCGGTTTGGGAGGACTGTATTAAATCATTTATTTTGGCTTACAAATAAAGGTAGCTGGCAATTGAAGACTATGTATTGTGACTTTTGAATGAAATGTTCTTTCATAGGATGCCTTGTGTATAAACCCTAGTATGCAAATAATAGCTAATAGGTACAAAATAAGTATTAGTTTGTTGCTTTCAGCAAGAAATTGAATAATTTAGCAGGATTAACATCCAAAATGATCTTTTTGGTTTGTCATGGGCTACCATAAACCGAGAATGAAAACTTGCTTTTTAGGTGAGACTGGGCATTGTACAAACATAATTTCGTGTTCTTATTGAAAAAAGAAATATAAACCCCATTGCTAATGAAGTTTTTAAACTAGGAACAATGATCATAGAAATTCATAAGTGCAAACACACACGATTTGTGTTCTGTGCTCTAGTCAGTTAAGAAAAATATATTAGCCAGGTATGGTGGCTCACATCTGTAATCCCAGCACCTTGGGAGGCCGAAGAGGGCAGATCACTTGAGCTCAAGAGTTCGAGACCAGCCTGGCCAACATGGTGAAACCCTGTCTCTACTAAAAATACGAAAATTAGCCGCCGGGTGTGGTGGTCGGCGCCTGTAATCTCAGCTACTCAGGAGGCTGAGACACGAGAATCGCTTGAACTTCGGAGGTGGAGGATCCAGTGAGCTGAGATAGTACCTCTGCACTCCAGCCTGGGCAACAGAGCAAAACTCCATCTCAAAAAAAAAAAAAAAAAAAAAAAAAAAAAAAAAAAAAAAAGGAAGAAAGAAAAGAAAAGAAAAAGATATTAGAGACAGAGAAAAAGAAAGAAGTAGAAGACCTCAGTAGCGAGAGGAAAACATTTGATACACAGTTCCAGCCCATTTTAACATTCTACTAAGGACTTATAGAGTTGCATTTCTGTGACAACGGGCACTCCTGCAGGTACCACCTTTGGCTGAATACTTGCTCACCAGATTGGATGAAATTAGAACAGGACTCAGCAGGTGAGAGTTCCACTCCCTGCTACTCACAGAAACACAGATACCATTTTTGGTGAAGGACAAAGCTTCGATTATTGCAGTGTATCCCCAGTCCATCCCAGAGGTGTTTATTTATCATTGGAGATTCTAGGTATTAGTAATAGCGATATCAAAATGTCCCCAGCACAGAAAGAGTTAAGTGCACTTCTGGTTACACTAACCCTTCAGAAAAGTGTGTATTGATGTTATAATATATGAAATCAAAAAGAAAGCTGGATTGAAATTCAAATAAAGTGAATTTACATCAGCTTATCATCACTTCTTGGGGGGAAACAATTATTTTTATAACATGTTTATTGATTATATTTGGTTTAAGTTTATGAAAGCAGAAACACTGTTTTCAGAGGCTGGGTTTAAATAAGAAAAAGGATACACCAATGAAACAGGTTGCAGCAGGCAGGAAGCCTCATCTACAGCTACTTAAATGTAAGTGCATAGGTGCACAGTGCTGACAACATATGATTCTGTTCAGAGAAGCTGACATCTGTCTTAAACTACACTGTTATTCAAATTTTATGGAAATGCAAGCAGGAACACATTAGTACACTTCTTACAAAATTTTTGAAAAGCTGTTGTAGTAAATCCCTTTTATTAGAACAGCTGCAGATTAAAATGAAATAGCCATGTTGTTGATTTTTATAACTTTACCAATGATTCATCATGAGCAAAGGGGTTTACAACATTGGTAGTTACTAAGCATTTTACTTTTATAATTCAGTTGAATCCAACCAACACTAAATGCAAAGTTGGCCAGATAGACAAAGATGGTTTATTGTTAGGATAGAAATTGCTGATGGCATGATACTGAGAATCCCTTTCTGGAGGTCATGAAAACGTAACAGGCACAGCAGTCCTATAATGTGTCTGTCTATTGTCGATGAAAATGAAACCTTCCACCTGCTAAGATAGTGACTGGTTTTATTCAAGGAATTATCCATTTTAAAATTTTTGCTAAGTTTGTTTACCTTTTTCTGGCTGGTTGTGTATGTTTCTTTTCTTTTCTTTTTTGAGACAGGATCTTGCTCTGTCACCCAGGCTAGGGTGCAGTGGTATGATCATGGCTCACTGCAGCCCCTACCTCCCAGGCTCAACTGATCCTCCCACCTCAGCCTCCAAAGAAACTGGGACCACAGGCATGTGCTACCACTCTGGCTAATTTTTTAAATTTTTTTGTAGAGATGGAGGTCTCACTATATTGCCTAGGCTGGCCTCAAACTACTGGGGTCAAGCAATCCTCCTGCCTTAACCTCCCAAAGTACTGGCATTACAGGCATGAGCCACAAGGCCTGGCCTATATTTCTTTTCTAAGTAGGATTAAATTACATTGCTTTATTATTTGGTCAATAGCAGGATTGGCTCTTGATAGTGATTGGGCTTTTGTGTGTTTTTTTGAGACAAGGTCTTGCTCTGTCACCCAGGCTGAAGTGCAGTGGTGCAAGCACAGCTTACTGCAGCCTTGACCTCTGGGCTCAGGTGCTCCCCCTGCCTCAGCCTCCTGGGTAGCTGGGACCACAGGTGTGCAGCACTATGCCTGGCTACGTTTTACATTATTTGTAGAGATGGGGTTTAATATGTTTTTAAAACTTGAGATTTTTTTCTTAGCATACACTTTGAATGTGACCATTTGGAAAAATTTAACACAGAGTGAATTATTTTGTATGCTTTGGTATAACTGAGGAGAAGTTATCTTAACAAAATTCTACACTTGCTTGGACAAGCAAATTGTCCACAGCAACTAAAAATATTTCATTAGTCGCTGTCTTCAACAACTATTATCATCAAGTTTTTTTCATGTTAATGCCACTGTTAATAATTTTCTATGTTACAGTTGTGTTTTCCTACATGGGTGGTCCAATATTAAGCTTCCTTTAATGGATTGAGGTATAAATAATTGCATAACGTACTATTTAAATGTAAATATTGGTTCAGAAAGAACTGTAAATTATATTGAATAATTAAAAATAATTTTATTTATTTATTTACTTTGGTAGAGATACAGTCTCACCGTTTTGCCCAGGCTGGTCTTGAAATCCTGGCCTCAAGCCACCCTCCTGCCTTGGCCTCCCAAAGTATAAGATTACAGACAGAAGCCACCATGCCCAGTCTAAAACCAATTTTAAATAAATGATATCATAAAGCTTTACAAGTAAGATAATATGCACATTATGCTATTTTGAACAAATGACTTAAAATCTATACAGAAATCTACTTACTTGCACATTTGTGCTTTCTTTTAGTTGAACAAAGTTATCAAAAAGTAACTTTAAAATACTGCCTTCAGGTATACTTCCTTGAATTTTTAAAAATCCAACATAGGCATAATATTTCTGATGATGGTTACAGTCTGTATAAACTGAACAAGATAAGAATCCTCTTGTTAATAAAAAAACTTCACTTCCCACTACAACCAATACCAAATAAGCTAATGGGATTTAAAGAAAGGCATGAAAATTCCAGAAG